TTAAAACAACAGCTCAAAAAATTTGTGTTGAGGTATAATCGTATCTTGTCATGTAGAGCTGTGGTGCTAAAGTGAGTGATGAAGGTTTGTAATGTAATTTCTCTAATTTCTTCACATTCTCTGTATGTTCAGTAAACCATATTTATAAATGTCTATCTGTCTGTCTGTCGTTCTATCTATGGTTCCATCCATCCGTCCATCCATCCATCCATCCATTATATTCTCTATATAACCATGTATGTGACAAATAAAAATCTTGAATCCATCCATCCATCCATTAGGGCTGCACGATATATTATTTCAGCATCGATATCTTGATGTGCGCATCCGCGATAGTCACATTGCAGAATGTGCGATGTTTAGTATAGGCTACTTATATTTATACTGATTGTTTTCTTTGCTCACACACAGACACAGTGTCTACACTGGACGCGACAACTGCCCATTTTAAATACATTTAGTAGCAGAGCTACTGCATGCGATTTTCAGTGCTGGAAATCCGTTTATCCTTTGTCCTTGACACTCCTGCGTCGTCGTGGAGAGCGCAGGTCACAGTTGATTAACAACGGCAGACTCCACAAAAGCACAAGCTCCCGAGCGCTTTGGAAAGAAGGAGACAGCGGCACAACTGAAACAACTCTTACACATGTTTCCCTTCGGACGCTGGCCCAGCCAGTTTTATTGCAGGGCCGACATTTTGCTAGAAATAAATGAGACATCACACAGAGCCAAATAGGAAGAGAGAGAGAGAGAGCAGGAAAGCGAAATATTAGCGTGGAAAACCCTTTGCTGTCTTTTCTGTTTCCTTCTCTCTTTCTCTTCTCCCAGGGTGAGCAGATTTATGATATTTCTAAAGCCCCATGCTCTCTCCTCCCTCTGGTACAGAGTCCCGAGCGCTTTGGAAAGAAGGAGACAGCGGCACAACTGAAACAACTCTTACACATGTTTCCCTTCGGACGCTGGCCCAGCCAGTTTTATTGCAGGGCCGACATTTTGCTAGAAATAAATGAGACATCACACAGAGCCAAATAGGAAGAGAGAGAGAGAGAGAGCAGGAAAGCGAAATATTAGCGTGGAAAACCCTTTGCTGTCTTTTCTGTTTCCTTCTCTCTTTCTCTTCTCCCAGGGTGAGCAGATTTATGATATTTCTAAAGCTCCATGCTCTCTCCTCCCTTCCTCTCCTCTCCTCTCCTCTCCTCTCCTCTCCTCTCCTCTCCTCTCCTCTGTGGATAAATCAAAACCCTTCCTCACTGATCATACCCCCCGTGTGTGTGTGTGTGGAGGTTCTGGCCATGAAGATCTGTCAGGAATAGCAGTGGGCCTAATCAGAAATAAGGGTTTTGGTCTTCGGAAAGGAATGATAGCAATCAATGACTGATAGATGGATGGATAGATGAGGATGTATTGGTTGAGGGGAGGTGAGGATTGCATTGAGGGTAATGCGGTTCAAAGTTTGGAGGTGAGAGATTCCTCCTTGATGACTCCATTCCAAAATCTACTGAGCTGCATTGCTGTCGATTGCCTATAGGCAGCATCCTATAATTGAATTCAACCCCAAAAGGGACTAATAGGTGTACATAGGTTGCAACTTCACAAAAGATTAATGGTCGACTCACAATAGTCGTAGTAGTCACAGTAGTCTTTTGTGTTAGCATGTTGCTAAGCTAACACCGTGATACTCTTAAGCTGAAAAATACATAGCACATATAAGTGTATATTATAGCATTTTGCAACTATATTTATAATTTTTTTCCTCAAAACATTTGTGCAGAACACCTCCATTTCAACTATAAGAGCAGTTAATAATTAAGTTTATCTAGAATGATGGGATGTTATAAATGTATATGTATGTATATGTATATATGTATACACACTGAACAAAATTATAAACACAACACTTTTGTTTTCACCCCCATTTTTCATGAGCTGAACTCAAAGATCTAAGACGTTTTCTATGTACACAAAAGGCCTATTTCTCTCAAATATTGTTCACAAATCTGTCTAAATCTGTGTTAGTGAGCACTTCTCCTTTGCCGAGATAATCCATCCACCTCACATGTGTGGCATATCAAGATGCTGATTAGACAGCATGATTATTGCACAGGTGTGTCTTAGGCTGGCCACAATAGAAGGCCACTCTAAAATGTGCAGTTTTACTGTATTGGGGGGTCCGGGGGGTCAGTATCTTGTGTGACCACCATTTGCCTCACACAGTGCAACACATCTCCTTCCTTCGCATAGAGTTGATCTGGTTGTTGACTGTGGCCTGTGGAATGTTGGTCCACTCCTCTTCAATGGCTGTGCGAAGTTGCTGGATATTGGCAGGAACTGGAACACGCTGTCGTATACGCCGATCCAGAGCATCCCAAACATGCTCAATGGGTGACATGTCCGGTGAGTACGCTGGCCATGCAAGAACTGGGATGTTTTCAGCTTCCAGGAATTGTGTACAGATCCTTGCAACATGGGGCCGTGCATTATCATGCTGCAACATGAGGTGATCGTCGTGGATGAATGGCACAACAATGGGCCTCAGGATCTCGTCAAGGTATCTCTGTGCATTCAAAATGCCATCAATAAAATGCACCTGTGTTCGTTGCCCATAACATACGCCTGCCCATACCATAACCCCACCACCACCATGGGCCACTCGATCCACAACATTGACATCAGCAAACCGCTCACCCACACGACGCCATACACGCTGTCTGCCATCTGCCCTGTACAGTGAAAAACCGGGATTCATCCGTGAAGAGAACACCTCTCCAAAGTGCCAGACACCATCGAATGTGAGCATTTGCCCACGCAAGTCGGTTACGACGACGAACTGCAGTCAGGTCGAGACCCCCATGAGGACGACGAGCATGCACATGAGCTTCCCTGAGACGGTTTCTGACAGTTTGTGCAGAAATTCTTTGGTTATGCAAACCGATTGTTGCAGCAGCTGTCCAGGTGGCTGGTCTCAGACGATCTTGGAGGTGAAGATGCTGGATGTGGAGGTCCTGGGCTGGTGTGGTTACACGTGGCCTGCGGTTGTGAGGCCGGTGGTATGTACTGCCAAATTCTCTGAAACGCCTGTGGAGACGGCTTATGGTAGAGAAATGAACATTCAATTCACGGGCAACAGCTCTGGAGGACATTCCTGCAGTCAGTATGCCAATTGCA